ACACAGCCGTTTTATTTGCTCATGTGAGATGATCTGCAAATCGGGCGTTACTTTTGGTGGCTACTGTACGTACATATTGATATATAGATGAAAATGGCAGTACGAATAGACAATTTTCATGATCATACATATAAATTTTCAAATGGGTTTTCATGTAATTGTCGCTAATGTAGTTATCAAAATTATTGTCGCAGATCATAATGAAATAGGATTAAAATGAAATGAGGGGTTTCTATTTGACCCTCTAAAACACATTTATACTTGTTTATTGTCCGAAGCGTAGCGAGGACTCTATTGTTTGAGTAAACTTGAATGCACGTTCATCAATGGTTAGTCAGATACAAATAAAAATCGAGATTTGACAGAACCGTGATGATCTACAGTCAGTGCAACTATGCATATTCGCTTCGGACTTACATCAGATTCTGATTTCCTAGTTATAAAACCTGCTTCCAAATCCTAATCCTAACCCTAAAAAAAGGCTAAAAAAATGCACCCCAAACATTTGTATTTTTCGGTGGCTTGTCTATTTTACACTATCCCTCACTTCATTTTAATCTGATTTCATTTTAATCGGCCACAATTATTATTTGTTTATCATTTTGCGTTATTATATTGTAAAACCGCTGCGTAGTATGCTGGTACGTATAAGTAATTTATATTGTCATAAGGTTACCACTAATTTTGTATCTGAGTATGAGTCATAGGAATAGTAGTCTGTAACTTTGAAATTCCAAAACTAGAAACTTTTCGCCAATTTGGACTACAAGTTATCTAATTTCATTAATAGGAATTAATTCTCCTTAACATTAAATAAGTACGTATAGAAATAAAAGAAAGAAATAAAAATTTTTATGTACGGTTCACATTCATAATATCCAGCAATTGGCATGGTCCAAGACTATAAAATAATCAATTAATTTAAACATATATAATGCACAAAAATCTTGTGGTATCTTACCTTTGACACATTGCATTTACCGTATTTCTGCGACATGTGTACCCAGGGTATTCCCTTAGCTCATATTATGTACCCGGGTACTCGTGTGGGGGGATACACCGTATGAATACTTCCATGTATTTAATATGTTTTACTATTAAATGCCTGGATATAAGTATGATGTCCTCATACTTATATACCCGGTATAAATCAAGATTTGGCATCCAAAATTGCCGCAGGGTACAGCCCACGGGGGTACACATGTCGCAGAAATACGGTATATTGTTTATCAATTAGTAAAATTTTATGGAAAAAAGTAAATCTCACACATACATACAGGAAATTACTTTATCTGCAAGAAATAAAAGCTTTACATTGCAAATTTTAAATTAGGATGAACAATTGTTCAACCTTATCCATAAGAATTTCCATTAAATAGTGTCAGCTGCAGGATATTAACTTTATAAAAAGAAAAATTTCAAAAAAGAATAATTCCGGTTTCAACAATTTGATAAACAAAAAGTATACATAGAATTTTCTAATATTATTTGTTCCGGTTTCAAAAATTTGATAAACAAAAATGTATACATAGAATTTTCTAAAATTATTTGTTAAAATCTATATAGTAACTCAATAGATTCGTTTCTTTGAATGCCTACAAACTTATTTCATCAAATAGTATAAATACTTAACTTTGAGAGCTTAACAGTTTCATCATTGCAATTTACTGATTTTGAAAACTTAAAATGTCCCCAACACCCAGATACAACGTAACCATAGCGTGCGATTATTGCAGACGCTTAAAAACCAGATGCCAAAATCTCGATCAATCTGCTAAGTGTAGTAAATGCAAAGAGAATAACGTTGAATGCATTTATCGTGTTTGCCAAGGAAAACGTGGACGCAAACCTAAACCCACACCCCCTTCCAATGATGAACTTGATTCATCTCAGGAAGAAATAGAGTTTGTTGTTAATGATTATGAGTTGCCTTATGATTCAACTCAGGAGAAAATAGAGCTCGTTGCTAATAATAAGGAGGAAATAGAGCTTGTTGCTAATTATCATAAGTTGTATGCGATGTTACATGATTTATCTCAGCCCGAAGAGCTTGTTGCTAATGTTCATGAGATGTATGAGATGTTATGTGATTTATCTCAGCCCATTGTTAATGATTATGACTTGTCTCGTGATTCATCTCAAGAGCTCGTTGATACTGTTCATGAATTGTTTCGTAATTCATCTCAGGAGGAAATCCTTACCTCTACCTCATCACTACCATGTCCACATGAAAATACTGCAGGCCATTGTTGCCATATGGGATGCATAATAAGATAGAAGCATAACTTATAAACTCTAAATTTATGATAAGAGCTTTAAAAAAATCGATTTATATCCGCTTTTATACGCTAATTATAGTTTATGACGTTGGCAAAACTTAATTACAAGACTATAAGTTTAAAATAATGCAAAAAAATCAACTTTATGTTTTATTTAAATCGAATATTAACTCGAATATTAACTCGAACATTAACTCGAATATTAACTCGAACATTAACTCGAATATTAACTCGAAGATTAACTCGAATATTTAACTCGAATATTAACTCGAATATTAACTCGAATGTTAATCCGACGAATGTTAACCCGACGAATGTTAACCCGACGAATGTTAACCCGAATATTAACCCGAATATTAACTCGAATATTAACTCGAATATCTCGAATATTAACTCGAATAATAAAAATAGAAAACGATATTATGTTAATTAATATTCGTAAGGGGCTCAATAGTGGTATAAGAGGATTTCATTAATTTTTCCCTATTACTGCTAGGGATGGCGAATGTTTTTAAAATGCACTCTTAAAAAACATGATTGCTTGATTTATAATTGTTTATTACAAGAACTGTTTCAAAATTTCATCATTATAGTATATTAGATTTTCATACGGTTCCACAAAAATCGGGGTTGTGTAACCAATCGATAGTACTTAGGCCGAAAGAGGGGCGTTAGACTTTTCGAGTGATGTGACAAGGTCTAACAACACTAACTACTTCGGAGCGATATGGCAATAAGTTTAGGGATGGTTTATGCACTAAATTAGAGATTCTTTTACAATATCTGTATAGTCTTGTATACGTAACTTATTTGTAAGGTGGTAAAATCGACTGGGATAAAAAATTTCAAACTTCGCGTGACAGCACCAAAATTCATGTAACTTGAACGAAAAATACAAACAAAAAAATTTATAGACTAACAAAATAATAACAATAAGCAATAAATTAATCATTTTATTTATTTCGAATAAACTTAATAAAAATATTTTACAGCCAGAAAGTATTATTACGGTTTTTCCAAATATTTGGAATATTCCATTGCTTTTAAAATGATTATAATACTCCTCAAATTTATGCAATGACTCAAAGTTTTTGTTAATACTATCAAGCCATTTGTTACCATTTGGATTCATTATGTTTTCTTCAATAATTTTTTTGTTGTGTCCTTGATCCAGATAATGTTGTTAGACAAAACCTAAGGGTTTTGTCAATGACAAAGTCAAAACTAGGTTTTGTCTTTTGTCAAAAAATTTTTAAAATGACAAATGACGAAAGGTGACAAAAAGTGACAAAACTGACAAAAGACAAAACTAATAAAAAGTAACAAAATTAATAAAAGATAATAAAATTAATAAAAAAAATAATAAATAAAATTAATAAAATTAATAAAATTAATAAAATTAATAAAATTAAAAAATATATTTATATATTTATAATAAATTAAATTTATATTTATAGTATATTCGTTTTAAAATAAAAATATAATCTATAAATAAGGTCTGTATCATTTCACCAACACTCACTTTACCAACATGCCATTCATCAACAAGTTTATTTCACTGACAATTATTTTACCGACAGTTCATTTCACCGACAGTTCATTTCACCGACACATTTGTTTTAAAAATTGCACTAGCCTTAAACCAACAATGACCAGAATTACTTTGTTAGTGAAATAACTGTCGGTGAAATAATTAACTTGTCAGTGAATTGATTGTCAGTGGAATAGCATGTTGGTGAAATGAGTGTCGGTGAAATCAACGAAACCCCAAATAATCATATATATTAATTTGATTCTTTATTAATTATCTGCTTATTAAATATTGAATCAGATACTTAACGGCTAATCTTTTGTATAAGTAAAAAAAAACTTTATAATTTTTACGATCCTATAGTTAATAGATTTTGTCTACAAAACTCGGATATAAAAAAAACTGTCATATCTATTTATTCATTAATTTACCTTTATAATTATTAACTATGTTATTAAATTTTACAGCCACGATTTATACATCTACAAGATTTAATATGTGACTTTAATTTATTTTATACTATAGCATAGCTAGCCTTTAATCAGGGATTATACAAAAATAATTACTTTGTATCTAATCAATAATACAGTTTTTAATAAAAAACTATTTAAAAATTATAATTCTGTATTTAAAATATAGCATTGTTTTTAATTAAAAATTATACAAAAACAATGGCTTCGCATCCACCTGCCGGATAAATAAAAATTATCACATCGTCATCAACCCTCGTATATATCAACACAATTGTCTAATCCAAATGGGTTGATATTAACGAAGATTGTATGTACATATTGTCGGTCATGTTATTAATGATATAGCCGATTATTCTCTAGGATGCTGAAACATAACGCCACCGTTACGTTGTAGCATCTGCTGTGAATATAAATCAGTGATAAAATAACCCCAACAACATGGTTATTGTATATTTCTGACGTATGCACCTAACCATTTTCTGCAACTTGTTGGGTCGTTTCGAATCCGTAATACACAAATTTCGCTCACCTCCGATAGATGAGTAAAGTTGTGTATCACGTATTAGAAATGACCCACTAACTTGCATGAAAATGGCTAGGTACACACTTTTTTGTTCATAAGAAATGCTTTGTAACATTATTTTAGTTATAATCGCGGACCTGATTGTCCGTTATACTTATGCCCTACATAACCTGGCAATAAAATAATGATCTTCGTGTAACAAAACAAAGGCAAAAAAACTAGCAAACCGTAGCTAATGCAAAATTTTACTATGACAACCTGTTTTATACAATAAGCAAATAGAGTCTGTAATATTTAATTATTTTGATCGGAGATCCGGATTTTCAGGACATAAGGGTACTCATAATCTACATGCATGGCTTGACTATCTATTACCTTCTATTAACCATTTTTGTAAAAAAAAAAAAAAAAAACCAAATATGGGGGATGGCTAAAGCCGGGTATGTACGTACGTACTTCCTCGATTTTCCTGATTTTCCTGATTTTCCTGATTTTAACTAAAATTGATTGATATTAGGGGTAGGGTTAGATTAAGGTAGTTTGTATATTGTAAAATTGCATTTCCAACATTTTTACTTAGGTGAACCAATACTGGTTAAGATGGCCGTTTTTTATATTTTTCGTGCTTTTGTCTTTGCCATCTCGCTTTTTTTGTTCGGAATGATTCGGGTTGTATATCGGATAATCTCATGATTTATTGCTTACCCCAAATATAGTAAGTAATTTAAATAATTAACCAAATACGTAAGTGACACAATGAGAAATTTTTACTTACCCCCAAATATAGTAAGGTTCACGAATTTAAATATTTAACTAAATACGTAAGCGAAAATTTTAAAGATGGGTTTAAGTAAATAGGTATTGTTAAGAGATTTCTAGAAAAATCAGACAGAGTAAATTATAAATATCGGAGTGTGATTCCCCTTGATAATATCTAAATGTGCCAGGACGACCACAAAAAGTGCAGGCAAGTGGCAATATTATTATAATACACGATTATTATTGAATTAATTATTAATGAGTTGATTATTAATAAATTGATTAATAATCAATTGATTAATAATCATGTATTGTTATTATTAGAAAAACCCACACGTTTGTGGTTACTTTGCCAATTCCATTCAATAAGAT